ATAACGTCTCTGACGGTGAAGCTGGGTGATACGAGATCGAATCTGCCAGGGAGCACCAGTTCCCTCAACATTACAGGTACACCCTACTGACGAGTGCTAAGTAGCACGAAACCCGGGTCCAAGGTTTCCTGTTGACTACATCCAACCACCATCTAATCCCAAAATAGTGCACGCAGTATCGAGTCACCTAGGCTGATGGCCACATTGCAATATGGTCGATAGCATTCGATCTGCACTAATAAGGACCAAACACGCAATCAATTGTGAATAGTGTAAAATCTTTATCGAGTATATATTCTTATTAGTCATAACCTATGTCCTAACAACAAATATATATCAACGTCACTGTATATTTGATTATATCTTAGCAGTGTAAAACCATATAAAGGTTAGAATCAATACATTTCATAGAATGTATTCACAGAATAAACTCTTATTTCGAATAATCACAGAAGGGATCATACTAAATTATTTGTATTCACTTCAAATATGTTTTATAACATAGTCAATATGAATTTATTTATATAAATGAATTGTAGTGAACGAGAATACAAAATGGGGACAATCGAATGTATTCGAACATAAAATTACAAAAAGTTCTCGTAAAATCTGAGAACCATACAGTAAATACTTCGTTTGTAAAATATCAATCAATTGTCTCAAACTTGACTATTCCTTAATTTCCATATCCATCGCTTTCTGTTCTCATTCGTTCCTCTTCGATCTTCTCAACTTTCTGCTGCGAGACATTCTATACCTGATTAGCGTTATATACTATTTATATCGATATAAGTAGTACACATAACATAGAATGAGAACAAGTTAAACAGTCTTAAATTCCTCGTTGCTTTCATATTGCGGTATTATCATAGCTCATTAAAAAAAAGAAGACTAGTTAATTTACAATATTTGGATCGATTGTTTTCTTTTCATTTTAGATGATTTCATACCTTTGTCTCAAATGTTTCGTTTGTGTATACATAAAAAAACATAATAATGAATTCCATAATGTTAATTCTATACTCCCAATAGAATTAGTTACCTATGAAATCATTTAATTCATGTTTAAAACTACTCGTGTTTCTATCTCAGTTTACAATCAATCAACTGTTGTTTATTCATTAACAAGTAGCTAAATAAATGAAAATCTTGTCAAAACATTGATTTAATTATACCCTTATAATAAGAATCATTAACCGAAATGAAATGTGATAACAATTTAGTTTAAGAAAATTAAAGAAGAAGATGTTGATGATGATAATAATAATAATAATAATAATAATAATGTATAAAGTGGGGAACATCAATTTATTGTTTCATACAAAATTACAGAAAATCTAAGTAAAATACGAGAATCATAAGCTGAATACTTCATTTGCAATGCTAACTGCTATTGTAGATGGTTGGAAGAAAGTTTAGAGTGGTCAAACCAAAATGTGACATCAGTCCATAAAGTTAATAACTTCTAGTCTGAACCATGTTAGAAGATGCAGACTACTTGGTTGTAGTCTGCGTGACTATCGTAACCAATGGTTGGAAACTCTGAGTAACATTGGCTCAGAATCGATCACAATGGCGTAGGTGTATGCACTCTCTTTCTTCCCTTAAACTAAGAGATTTCAATCTCTTCATATCTTTCTTTCTACGAACTAATTCTTTCTTCTTGTGCTATATCCTTATTACAATCTTTATTTTATATATTACCACCTCTGCATTAACTACTCTTATGAATCCGATGTTCATCTTATTGTGTTAATGAGGTATGGTAACTTGGACCGATGTATGTATAAAGTTTCTCTAGAATCTGTTCTTATTATTAAATATTATAGATAATCTATGTTTATTTACTTAAATACAGTATGTATGTATGAAGAGTTAGTCTATCAAATCAATAATATAATAAACAATATAAACATAATATAAAGCAAAAACAAAACAATTTGAACGACATCATTAGACAAATAAATAAATGAATCTTTACTTTAAGTAATTAATTCTACTTCAAATAAATAAATCAAACTACGTTTTAAGTAATCTGTCTAATTAAATAATCAACTTTATTTAGAAGAAAGAAAACAATAACAATACGGTAATTGGGCTTAGGCAACTCATAGTACATTTAAAATCGAAATCGAAATGTACTGTATAGATGGGTTTGTTACAGTGTAGTGTTTATCAGCTATTGATGAAATCAAGAGGCTAATAAGCATTGCTAAAATGTTCTTAATTTTCAGGTCTACGAGTATATGTTAAACGATTGAATTCAAACATTTAAAAAAAAAGTATTATACAACCATGATCAAATATAATTGGTGAGTAACTAATTCACTTTTAGCATAGTTACGTTTTACAGTTCATGGTTTCTCAATAAAACTGTTTGAATCACCATTTGTAATTGGTTACTTGTAAGCGTTTTATTGTTATCACTATACAAAGTTTATGAAAGTTGAAATGTAAACGTTTGCTTGCTCAATCAGTTGATTAAGGGGTAAAACTTAAAACTAAAGGTTCTAGATTCGATTCTCAGTATCTGTATGTGAAGTCACTGTCGGAGATATATATATATATATATATATATATATATATATATATATATATATACCTACACCCACTTCCCTCTGTGCTTCCTGCGTGCTTGAGGATTTTAATAACCATTAACAATAAACTTACTCTACAACTGATTTTGAAGCTTTTGAATAATCTCCAGTAAATCTATAAGACTACTAGAAGACTTAGTTTAAGCAAATTCTCAGTTAAAAGGATATTAGTTGTTGAAGTCATATTTACAGGAATTTACCTCTACAGATACATATATTGAACAAGATCATTAAGTGATATAATCATAAGTAATGTGAAGAGAATGACAGAACAATAATTACCAACTAATCAGATTCAATATTGATTGAAACAATCAGTTGTTATGTTGTTTAAAAAAAAATCAATAAAAATTACATAATTAACCTCTATGTTAGTTTAGACAAATTATGTACATGTACAAATCTTTGTAATCATCAGATAACTATATAAATTTCATATAAAAAAACACACATAATAAGTTAGTTGTATTGACATATTAATAATTCAATTTCTATCAACTTTTGAATGGTTCATGCTGTTTATCACAGATTTGAACTTGTAGACAAACTGTTCAATAGAACTATAATTTATGAATGATCTTTGAGCAATTCTAAAATCATCTTGAAATGTTTACCAACTTAAATCAGGGTTACAGATTAATGTAAGGAATTAGTATTAGGATTAACAATTGAATTACATTTAATATTTTCATCACAAACTGACATCAGCTACAATGACAAAATGATATTTTTACCAAATGAGTAAATGAATTCCGCGCCAAACTTCATGACCTTGTATTTTAAATCTGATTGGTTCCTTTATAAATTATAATCTTACCGAACTATTTATATCAATATTAGTCGGAATAGTCCACTATAGGATTATCATTAATAAACATTAATTTTTAAAAAGTGAATCATTCACCAATGTCCACTACTTAATATTCTGTTATACAAATACGTTTATAAACAGTTGAAGAAGAACTATAAAATAAAATGAATCTATATTATTCCACTTCAGTTGTTATTCTAACTTTCTTTATGAGGGATTTGTGGAGACTAGCATTTTTACAGTTGAATTCACAAGTCAATCTAGACTACATAACCAATGAAAACATGAAATCACTGGATGGTTACTTTGTCCTATTATGGAACTTCTTATCAGTAAATATTCTAGCTTTTAGAATATGATTCTATCAATCATTATTTTATCAGAAGGGGTTTTGTGGCGATTTTAGAAATTTCACTGATTGAAATCATGAGTCAATTGAAGCTAGATCATCATGGAAAATCTGAAAGCAGTGGACGACCGTTTCGTTCTAGTATGGGACTCCTCAACAGTGCGCATCCAAGATCCCGCACCCCGCGAGATTCGAATCCAGGACCTATCAGTCTCTCTCCAGGCTCTTAACCAACTAGACCACTGAGCCGGACGGCATCCAACGGTGTTAATGTCTAACTTCAACCAATCATCGATGTTGCGCCACCGTACACCATTGTCTTCAGTGAGTTGATATCTCACAACAGACCTGATTGAACTTCACTGGTGACGGCTTCTAGTTGGTTAAGCGCCTGGCGCGAGACCGATAGGTCCTGGGTTCGAAACCCCAGGGGTGCGGGATCGTGGAAGCTCACTGATGAGGGGTCCCATACTAGGATGAAACGGCCGTCCAGTGTTTTCAGGTTTTCCATGTTCGTCTAGCTTCAATTGACTCATGATTTCAACAAGTGAAATTTCTAAAAATCTCCACAAAACCTATTCTGAAAATATATGTATATTAAATATGTTTATTGCAAATAATAACTCATAACAGTTACACAAACTAATCGTTATCTGAACTCAATCGCTTGGTGAATAAATCTGTAGTATTTTTGAAGACAATTTTTAATGGTTTATAATCTCTATGTAAACATCAAAACTGTGATGTTTTTATGTTGACATGACTAGTTTCAGATTTAGATTTAGTCACTACTTAACATTTATGAAATTATTACTGAAATCATTTAGGGTAGTGTGTGCTATTGATGTTTACAGATATAAGTAGTATGTATCATCAATTGAATGTGAAATGCTTGGAAGCAGAAGGTTAAGATGATCGAAGAAATGAAAATGAGAACAGACAATGATTGGTAAGGAAACAAAAAGGGACAATTTAGTCTGAAACGATTGATTGACATTTTACAAATGAAGAATTTACTGTATGGTTCTCACATTTCAATATCATATTCTGTAATTTTGTGTTCGAATACATTCGATTGTCCCCACTTGTATTCTCATTCACTATAATACAAAGACAATACTACATATATTTATATATGTTTATTCACTTTATACAACATTGTGATAACCCTCTATATCAGGTAATTTTTTAATGAGAGATCAATCATTTCAGTATTTTTAAAAAAAACCCATTGAATACATACCTTGTTTCTTCTATCGGATGTAAAATATGCAACATATTAGGATGATGAAGTTGAGTTAATAAACGTACATCACGTTTTAATACACTAGTCACAATATCACGTCTTCGAGGTTTATGAAGTTTGTCAGCAATTGACTTATCAAATAAAAATACAGAACATGGCTGAAACGAAAAAAAAAACAAAAAAAAACTTTTCGAGTAATTGTAGTTCTTCTCAATAAATCAATTGGTAATACAAATCAATAAAAAAAACTCGATAAGGAATCGAAATGTTAGGCATCTTCCGAAAGACAAATGGATATGAAGTTTGATTAGAGGTAAGGTGTTAAGAATGAACAATAATGAGGGGATTTTATACAAGGATGTAATAGTTGGTCAGTACTTTCTGTTATTCAACAAGATGTTTAAATAATATCAGCGTGTAATGTAAACTATATGATTCAATAATTTCCACATACCCCATAAACCACAAACATACAATGGGAACATTCAGCTTGAATGATTACACTTTCAATATGGAGATGTACAAAAAACGTATAAAAGCATAACAATGCTTATATAGGTATATTTTTATCAGTATGAAGTTTTGATTTCTTTTGTTCAAATTAGAAAGCTATTGAAACAGTGAAGCATTGGAAAGCTTATCCTACCTAGTATAAGACTTCTCATTAGTGTGTATCAACGACCCCACTAATAGATATTGAACCTTAGTCATTCGTTTGCCATCTGCACCAATGAACAGGGATTCAGTATTGTCATTTTAACATAAATCAATTTATGATATTACATAATCATTTTCTTGATTTCATCATCAGTTGGTACTTTCCTCACATGCAACTGAGCCCGAATTCTTACTAGAAATCCAGAAAATTCCGCTAGAAGTTAGTCATTAGTAAGCACATGATAACTACCAGTAAATGATGATAGAAAATGCCGAATTTAACAAAGAAACGTTACGAGGTTGAAGGTTCAATGTCCAGTTGCCGATGGAAGGATTACAGATACACAGTGCTAAAGAATATTTTATTATGAAGAAACAGCTTTCAGAATTACATTAGTTACTAATGAATGATAATACGCAGATGCAGTGGAATTTTCAGTATACTATAATTTTCAATAATAATTAGGGATTTATAACTAAAAAAGGCTTTTTAAAGAAAGTAACAATTACCTAATTCTAACTCAATAGTTTCAATAAGATGTTAAATACTTATTATATAAATATTGATATCAAAAAGGGGCTTTTGTGGATATTATAATTATTTCAATGGTTGACATCATAAGTCATCTGAAGCCAGACCAACATTAAAAAGCTGGACGCACTGGGCGTCCATTTCATCCTATCGTGCGACTCCTCAGTAGTGCGCACTCGCGAAATTCAAACTCAGGACTTATAGATCTCTTCCTTTTCTCTTTCATTACATAATAGTTAGTCAAACGTTATTTGTAGATTGTTGAGATTATGTATTCCTGTCGTAGTAATAAACAAACAAATTGTGATTTGTTCTTGACGTATCTTTTAAAAACAAATACACCTAATTAAAGAGATGAACAAATTGAAGATGATTGTTTGTTAAAAATGTGGATTGATTTTGATTGAGTTATTTTACTCAACATTCAGTTTATATCATAGTTTTACTATAAAGGTATGGTGGTCTGCTTGAATATTTGAGTTACCTGTTCCTGCCATCTAGATCTTTCAACAAGTCATCTAATTTTCTTTGTTTTAATACATTATTATGTCTGTTAAACGGTTTATTTATTCAGGCGCCTTTATGAAAAGTGTACCTTTCATTATACAAGTTACAAAATAGTTTAATTAGAGATAACGTGGTTGCTGGCAATATGCAGTGAAAATAATGTACAATATTTTGATGTCGATTGACTGGACAGCTAACTTCTAGTTGGTCACCACTCAATATTTATCGTCAATATCGATCAAAATATAAGAAATAGGAAGTCACTGAAATACTTTTTGCTGTGAATTCTATATTGTACCAAAAATGTAATAGTGAATAGAGCTTATAAGGACAATAATTGCATTGGCTGAGGTTTGACATTAATACCGTTGGATGACGGCCGGCTCAGTGGTCTAGAGGTTAAATGTTCACGTGCAAGACTGAAAGACCTGAGGTCGACTCCAGCGAGCGGGATAATGGATGCGCACTGCTGGCCGTCCACAGTTTAAAGCATACTTAAATCAATTCTTTGTCTTGTAAAAAACATCTAACCATTTTCATTTTACTTCAATGACATGAATTTATTATTTTTCATTTTGATAAAGTTGATATGATCATCAATCAATTGAAGCTAGACCACCACGAGAAACCTTGAACCACTGAACTGCCGTTTCGTCCTATTGTGGGAGTCTTGATCTCTCATGACCTCAACTCTTGAAATTAGTACAAACCCCACTAAACCCCTTGTGATACAGTTAATAAGAGACAAACGTAAATGAAATTGATTTTTTTACTATAATTTTTTATAACCTTCATGCTTTTATTTAAACTAATAGAAATGGGAAAGAAAATGAGAATTTTAACAAACCATCTTTAATTTAATGATACATTAATTACCTTGAATATGATTAGACTTTGGCATATGCATTTTTACTTCATTATTCATATGTCTTATTTTGTTAATTAAATAATAATTTCAAGCATTGGACGGCCGCTTCGTCCTAGCATTTGACTCCTCAACAGTGCGCACCCACGATCTCGTTTCGCAAGATTCGAGCCCAGGACTTAGCAGTTTCGCGCGTGAACGTTTAACCTCTAGTCCACTGATCCGGCCGGCATCGAACGGTCTAAATGTTTAACTTCAACTAATCCATGAAATTGAGCGACACATCCACCACTGTGTTCACTGAGTTCCTATCTCGCAACAAACCCTATTTAACTTCACTGGTCACTGCATCATACAAGAACTCCAGGAAATACCTCTTGAGGCCAGTTACTAGTGAACATACGTTAAATAATAGCTTCACGTTGTCAGTCATGATGTTCCAGTGAGAAACTGTAATCAATCCACTACAATCAATGTCCAATCTGAGATTAATATCCAACTCAGTCAATAAATGAATTATTGCACATTATCATAGATTGATTCATGTTAGATATTAACACCGTTGCATGCTTACTCAATTGTCTGGAGTTGAAGAATTCACACGCGATACTGAATATTCTGAATTCGAATGTCGTGTGTTGTACTGTAAGCGCACACTGATAACATGTTCCATGCTAGAACGGAATAACCGTGTAATGCTTTTAGGTTTTTATGGGTGATCCAACTTAGATCAGCTCATGATTCCAACCGTGAACATAATATTCTATCCAAAAATCCCTATACTAAGCATTCAATAATAGTTTATAAATGGAAAATTGAACGAACTAAATGAACGTAAAATAGTTAGTTTGAAGTTATATTATTCATTAATCTGTTAACAAAATCTCAGATTTCTAAAGTTTTTCAATGAAACTCTTGTCGGTCATTAATTTCTTAAAATTGTCTATCATGAATCAGTTTTAATCTAAATTGTTTAATTAGAAGGTAACTGATGTTATGATTAAAGCCTCTGCAGCAGTACACAAGGGGAAAACCAAGATCTTCAAATACAACACGGGGAACACAAACCCAATCTCACTTGATGGAGAAACTCTGGAAGATGTGGAATCTTTCACTTACCTGGACAGCATCATCAATGAACAAGAAAAGTCCAATACAGACGTAGAGTCAAGGTTCGGCAAACCAAGAGCTACATTCTTACAATTGAAGAATATATGAAAACCAAAACAACCTTCAACCAATATCAAAGTCAGTGTCTTCAATACGAACGTCAAGACAGTATAGAGCTGAAACGTGGAGAACTACTACATTCATCATCAGAAATGTACAAGTATTTATAAACAGTTGCATACGCGAGATACCATTAACATCAGTCTACTGTGGGAAGGAACAAACAACCTTCCAGTTGAATAAAGGGAAAGGCGTTGAAAGAAGACAGAAGATACATTGAGAAAATTAATAAACTTGGAATGTTGAAATAAAACGGAAAAGAAGAAAGTCAAACAACACACTGTGTCGTGAATAAGAAGCAGACATGAAAACGATTAATAGCAGCTGGATAGGATTGTTCAAGACAGAGTTGGATGGAGAATGCTAACGTTTGTCCCATGCTCCTCCACAATCTAATAAATTAAGTTTTATTTTGTTTTCAATATTATCATTCACAAAATTCATATAAGTGTATATATACTTGTATAGAATAGATGGATTATAGATAGAAGTGAAATCATAAATTTCTGCTCCAATCTATTTTAACTTCATCAGTTGAACACGTCTACATTGATGTTCATATTACAATTGACTACAATAAATAATATTTACTGATATTGTTTTATTGACAGCATTCCTAGAGACGTTTGGTCTATGTCAAATATGAATAAATAATGCATTTGTAATATCTCAATGAGTTGAAAAATTAAATTTTCTGACGTTTCGTGACTTAGTGTAAGTCACTTCTTCAGAGAATAACAATCTACCCATTGCTCAATGTATTCGAAAATATCAAATCAAACCATGATAATAATACCTATGTCAAATATGAATCATCATGATAACTTTAGTTAATAATCAGGTGACTGATTATATCATCATCAAATGATTGATTAACATGGTTCTATTTAAAATGTACACTAAGATACGTTAGAATCATGAATGACAAATACTTTTCCATATTTGAAAAAAAGATCATCTTGATCCGTTTTCCAACAAACAAGCTCCAAGAACACAGTCACTAATCCAAGTCATGTGGTTAGATATGGATCAACTATCAAGTTGATGACTTTATAAACATTTCTATTTTGTTATTCATTCAACAACAAAATAAATAAGATGAACAAACAATTTTCGAATGTTATCTGTTTACATGATCAATTGGACAGTTTTATTGGATACATCACAACTTATGTATCTGCCAACTAAGAGGTATATATATATGTATACGTATGTTTGTAGTTATGTGTATTTCTTTAAATGTCTTAATTGTATAAGATGAATATGTTGTTGATGGACATGTTAAAGTTTACCAAGTGAATCTAAAACTTCACCTCATTGCACAAGCAAGTGGCTATCAGGACTCAGTAGCTGAGTGGATAACGCGA